CCATTTCCACCGTCTTACCACTACCACTACCACCTTATCTTGGGCATATATTTGACCAGTCGTCCTTTTGTTACTTGTCTCTTCTCTCTTGTCTCGCTCAGCTCTCGTTTCCTGCGAGACCTTGTTGTATTTTCTTGCTTCCATTCCCGTCGATAGACATCAGCAGCAACCATGTGGTGAGCTCTCCCATCCCACCATTCACCGCCCCGCTCCGCATTCGTCTTCCTCGCTATGAAGCTACGGAGCTGCAGTGCTGCGATGCTGCGATGCTACCCATAGTCTCGAAAGACGAGAGCCCAATTGCCAATTGACCTGCTGCTGACACTGGCTTTGCTTGCCTGAATAGTGGTATTTTCGGATACGTCAACTACCTGGTGGAGAAGGACCGCAAGTTCATTCTCGATACCCTGCTCAACGGTAAGGAGCTCTCATCTTTTTCCTCGGGCCCCGACGGAGGGGCATTGGCTGGACTTGGACATGGAGAGCAATTTGACAGCTAACGCCTTGGTCGTGTTCCAGGTCTCTCCCGTCTTGAGTACAGAGGATACGACTCCGCTGGTCTGGCCATCGATGGCGACAAGAAGAACGAGGTTCTGGCCTTCAAGGAGGTTGGCAAGGTGGTCAAGCTGAGGAAGCTCATTGATGAGTCCTCATTGGACCTGACCAAGGTTTTCGACTCACATGCCGGTATTGCCCACACCCGATGGGCTACTCACGGCCCCCCATCCACCCTTAACTGCCACCCTCACCGGTTTGTCTCCCCCGATATTTCTACCTGCAAATCTTGATCCGGCAAGCTGACCAGACACTCGTTGTTACGAACAGATCCGATCCCACCTCGGAGTTCACTGTTGTTCACAACGGTATCATCACAAACTACAAGGAGCTGAAGACCCTCCTGACGAGCAAGGGCTTCAAGTTCGAGACCGAGACCGACACCGAGTGCATTGCCAAGCTCGCCAAGTACATCTACGACCAGCACCCCCAGATTGGCTTCACCGACCTCATTAAGGCCGTCATCCAGGAGCTTGAGGGTGCTTATGGTCTGTTGATCAAGTCTGTCCACTACCCCCATGAGGTTATTGCTGCCCGAAAGGGTTCTCCTCTCGTCATCGGTGTCAAGACTCAGCGCCGCATGAAGGTCGACTTCGTCGACGTTGAGTATGGCGAGGACAACGCTGCTCTCTCCGCCGAGGCTGCTTCTCAGACCGTCGCCCTCAAGAAGGCCGCCGCTGGCGACCTCCTTGCCCCCTCCAGCGCCCTGGGTGCTCCCGACAAGTCTCTCCTGCACCGCTCCCAGTCGCGTGCTTTCATGACCGATGATGGCATGCCCATGCCCACCGAGTTCTTCCTTTCTTCTGATCCCTCAGCCATTGTTGAGCACACCAAGAAGGTCCTGTACCTTGAGGATGACGACATTGCTCACATCCACGAGGGCTCCCTCAACATTCACCGCCTGAAGAAGGCTGATGGCAGCTCCAACGTCCGTGCCATCCACACTCTTGAGCTGGAGCTCCAGGAGATCATGAAGGGCAAGTTCGACCACTTCATGCAGAAGGAGATTTTCGAGCAGCCCGAGTCTGTTGTCAACACCATGCGTGGTCGTCTCGACATCGCCAACAAGACCGTCACCCTGGGTGGTCTGCGTTCATACATCTCCACCATCCGCCGATGCCGCAGAATCATCTTCATTGCTTGCGGTACCAGTTACCACTCTTGCATGGCTGTTCGTGGTATCTTCGAGGAGCTTGCTGAGATCCCCATCTCTGTTGAGCTGGCCTCTGATTTCCTCGATCGTGAGGCCCCCGTCTTCCGAGACGACACCTGCGTTTTCGTTTCCCAGTCTGGTGAGACTGCCGACTCTCTGATGGCCCTCCGATACTGCTTGGAGCGTGGTGCCCTCACTGTTGGTATCGTCAACGTTGTCGGCTCTTCCATCTCTCTCCTCACCCACTGCGGTGTCCACGTCAACGCCGGCCCCGAAATCGGTGTTGCCTCCACCAAGGCTTACACCTCTCAGTTCATTGCCATGGTCATGTTTGCTCTCTCCCTTAGTGAGGACCGTGCCTCCAAGAAGGCTCGCCGAGAGGAAATCATGGAGGGCCTGGCCAACGTCTCCGCCCAGATCAAGCAGATTCTCGACCTGGACCAGCCTATCAAGGACCTGTGCCAGAAGGTCTTCAAGGACCAGAAGTCCCTGTTGCTGCTTGGCCGTGGCAGCCAGTTCTCCACCGCTCTTGAGGGTGCCTTGAAGATCAAGGAAATCTCTTACCTCCACTGCGAGGCCGTCATGTCCGGTGAGCTGAAGCACGGTGTTTTGGCCCTGGTCGATGAGAACCTCCCCATTATCATGATCCTCACTCGTGACGAGATCTTCACCAAGTCCCTCAACGCCTACCAGCAGGGTAAGTTTATTCCATTGTGAACCCCCTTTTCCCACCTTCGTAACGCTAACACTCGCTATAGTCATTGCTCGTGGTGGCAAGCCCATCGTCATCTGCAACCCTGCCGATGAGGAGTTCAAGGCTTCGGATGCTCTCAAGATTGAGATCCCCAAGACCGTTGACTGCCTGCAGGGTATCCTGAACGTCATTCCCCTGCAGCTGATTGCCTACTGGCTGGCCGTTCTCGAGGGTCTCAACGTTGACTTCCCCCGAAACTTGGCCAAGTCTGTCACTGTCGAGTAAAGAGACGCCGGTCGGCTCTGCTCACTGGGTGTTGGCGTGGCAGCGGCATTTTTTTTGCTGCCACGAATTAAAAGATAATGAGGAGTTGGCTGTCAGGGAACTTTTAACGGCTCAGCAATGAATTTTTTACCATAGGAGGATGCACTTTATATTTTGTATGTAATCAGAACCCATAAAGGGTTTGACTATCAGCGAGGCCGAGCTCGTTTCTAGATGAACGCAAGCAAGGCGGACTGTTGCCATTTTATGTAGGACATGCGTTTGCCAGAGCGTCTTGGTATACTGCTTTTTCCGTTTACTGAAAAACATGTGTCCTGAGCGTTTGTGTGTAGACTTTGCGCCATCTTCTGCTTGGATATCTAGAGAAGAACTGATAAACTGTAAAGAACAAAAATATTCTGTTTATAATATTGATGAGCAAGCGAAGTGATTTGGGCATCAACGTGGACTTTACTGGAGACTGAATTTCTTGATATTCATCGCCCGTCTAAGAGAGCTAAGGTCTTTTTATTTATTTTGCACTACAAAAACAGAATAGGCCGTAATTATCTCTTGGTAACTAAACCCCCTGCTTTAGACCGTCTGAGTACCATAGCCCTTGATTCTATCCGCAAACGCCCAGCTTTGATCCTCTAGCTTCTCGTCCTCCTTGAGCTCGACACCGTCTTTGGTCACAACAGCTAATGAGTAGGAGTCTAGACTTCGAGCATCACGGTAGAAGAGCACTTTCATGGCCTCCTTAACAATGTTGATGGCCTCCTCGCGGGAGAGCTTCTTGGCCGACTCTTCGTCAGGGACGTAGCGTCTCATGATTGGCTGGGCGAGCATGGCGCCGAAGCCCGTGGCAAGGGAGGGGGCAGAGTAGGTGCTGCCGAGAAGGTCGGCGGCGGCGAGGAAGGGCTCGCCGTTGTCGTCGAGGCCGCCGACGAGGAGGTGGTTCCAGAGCGGGTCGAACTTGGAGCGGCGGTTGTAGAGGAGCTTGGAGAGGTATCGGTGGAGGTTGGCGGCGTTGAGGCGAGGCTTGTCGGGGGACTCGTAGGCCTCGGAGAGGGAGAGGTCGATGAGGTGGCGGTCGAGGTACTGCATGTCGGAGATGTCGCCGCTGAAGCCGAGGATGGAGGAGTCGGCGAAGGGGCGGAGACGCTTGACGTCGGTGAAGCGGGCGAGAGAGCCGTATGATGCTGTAGTTGTTAAAGGTCAATGATGTGAACAAATGGCCTGGTTGCTAGATGACTGTCCGTGGGAGATGGAGGGGGGAGGGGTGACAAATAGATGCAACGGCGAGGTGGAGGATGATTCAAGAGAAATGGAACAAGAAGAGGCGGGAAAGGGGCACGAACCCAGGTTATCGGCCGCCATGACGACGCCATCCTTGAACTTGATGCCTATTACTGATGTACCAGTGACGATGGGCTGCTGAGTGTTCTGCTTAGGCCCATTGTCCTGCATGTAGGAGCGGTCGTAGGCGCCGTAAACGTCGTCTCTCGGCTATGGTAAAGCAGTCAGCGAATGGCAATGGGCAAGTTTCATGGTAAATCTGGGAGAATGTCGTACTCGACCCCATGCTTGCGGACGGTGATCCATCTTGGCTTATAGAGCTTGTGAAGAAGAGGCGGCGACGTGGGGTAAGGACGGAAGCTGAGCGGCTGCTTGATTCTGTGGCAGCTCTTCAAAAGGCGAAATCGGGAGGCTTATTCGTCTGTTGCTGAGGCTGCTCAAGGGCACCAGATATGCGGCTCGGATGAATTGAGGAGGAAGCGAGAAGACAGGCAGTTTGAGAGGCTTCGCTGTCTTGGGAGAGCTGGTGATGCCGTGGTCGCGCGTCCCAGCGGTAGCCTACAAAGTACAAGCAGTGGTTACATAAGCTGACATCACATGCCATGATTGGCTGCAGGGAGGAGAGCTTGGACCAAGCGGGCTCCAGGTACCGCATACGTCCCCGGCGGCGGGGCTTGCAGCGACAGACGAAGTTTTCGATACCTGACATCTCGCGTGGTGCGATAGAAGACGTCAGGGAAGCAACAGAAGCTGCTGCAGCTACAACTTAGCGAGCCGAGCTCTACTGGAATCAGCACCAGCAACTGCAGCTACAGGGCTGGTTGCGGCAATCGATAGCGACGGCAGTTTCTCCCCCTCCCAGACCCTCGTCATTTCGCAACACCATTCCAGCAACTACACGAGAAAAATACAAGATTCGCATTTGCTTGTCTTTTGCCTCGACGGCGGCCCTTATAATTTGCCCTGCAATTGCGTCGCATTCTCGCCCAGCGCATCTCGCATTTGCTCCGAACCATCGAAAGTCGAGTCGTCAAAATGCTGTCATCCGCAGGTCTCGCGGCCGTTCGTCGCGTGCTCACCAGCTCCGGCGCGGCAGCTCCATGGCGTCAATCCACAGGTCTAGCAGCCCGCGCATTGGTGTTGCGCCTTGCCATGCCATCGGTGCGCACAATTAGCATCTCGGCGTCTATGCGCTCGCCGGCGGCCAAGTCCACTGCCACAAAGTCAAAGACCTCGGCCAAGAAATCGACGACCAAGAAGACCGCAAAGCCCAAGGCTAAGAAACCCGTCAAGAAGAAGGCGATCAAGAAGAAGGCCGCCGTCAAGAAGCCGAAGAAGACGACTAAGAAGAAGACGTTGACGCCCGAGCAAAAGGAAAGAGCCGAGATCAAGAAGCTGAGACAGATGTCGCTGCTGAAGGGACCGACTTTGCTCCCGGAGACAGCATGGAATGTATACTTGATTGATAACATTCGCGGCGCCAGCGGTTCTGTAACAGAGAGGGCCAAGGTCCTTTCCACCAGCTTCAAGAACTTGACTGAGACCGAGAAAGAGGTACGGCCATCTCTCCCTTTGAGTCGCTCTCCATGAGACCACCTTTGCTAACTTGACTGTTTCACTCCTCTTCCCAGCGCTTGACCTCAATTGGCAACTCCAACAAGATTGCCAACCAAGAGTCTAAGAAGAAATGGATCCAGTCGTTCCCTCCCGAGGTGATTTACACGGCTAACCTGGCCCGCCGTCGTCTCGCTCGCAAGACCGACAAGTCCAAAGTCTATTTGATTCACGACGACCGACTTCCTCACCGTGCTGGAAGCGCATTCACTTACTATCTGAAGGAACAGTTCAGTCAGGCTGGTACTGAAAAAGTCACCGACGCTATGCGCACCATCAGCGAACGCTGGAGGTCACTGAGCCCTAGCGAGAAGGCTCCTTACATAGAGCGGGCTCAGGAGCTCAACAAATCATCAGGAACCCAGGCCAAGGACTTGAGAGAGAAGGGCGCCAAGTACTGGAAGGAGAAGCTTGCCTCTCCTTCAGCTTAGATTTAGGTCGCATGTCTGAAGATGGTGTTTTCGTGTGTGTGTGCGTGCTGTAAGCGAGTAGACATGTCTTTCTTCCCTGTCACGTTACTTTGTTTATTATGGTATATTTATCTCTTGGTCTTGGACTGGTTGTAGGGAAAAAGGGCGATAGTGGGAGAGAGTGAAGAAAATGGTTTTTTTGTTATCATGCTTGAGTTTCACGGGGATTTCATGAATTTCATGAATTGTACAACAGTAACGTGTGTATGAATGCCAGCTATTGAATGATTATTTATAACCACACCCCTTATCCTATACAGGTTGGATTCCTTTGTCTGAACTCGACGCCCAAGTAGTAAAATAAAACTCCCAGGTGCCATAAAATATGTGCTCTTCTTTGAAGAGATATAAATAATAATCATGAAAAATAACTCCGGTGCCCAAATCCACAAAACTACTCATATCCAGCTTAAGATAGACCAATAGACTTATAATTACCTTACTTCTTCTCCACGGGAGACACTTCCAAGACAACCTCTCCGTCGCCATCAATCCACTGCGCGCCAGTAGTTTTCAGATGCCTGCCGCTGGCAAGGTACAGCAGCAGATACATATGCTTGGCAACGTGAGCCCAGCAATAGAGGCGGATCCAGTTGCGCGACTCATCACGGCGACACCACACACCCCATCCGGCGAGCCCGCTGCGGAGGTAGTTTGCCAAGAAGACCCAGGCTTCGAGACGAGTGTCCTGGGACCAGCCGGTGCAGTCGAGGAGCCAGTAGCCACGTTCAAGGGGCTCTGTTGGGCGTTTCGCTATGGGACGATATCGAGACGAAAGGTCTTTTGCTAGTTTAGCTAGTTTATCGGATATCAAGTCTTCAGGCTCGATATCCATGATTCCCGCTGAGGGCGACGGTGGTCGAATTTCCAAGGCGTCAGTCAACTCTTTCGCTACAGCAAAAGAGGTGCTGGCCGGTTGATTGGTCCTTACTGGCCCGGTGTCACTCGAGCTTCGTTGCAGATTCGTAGCTTCGGCTTCATCAATGAGTCCCCTTTGGCGTTTTGATAGAGGCGGTGCTGATTCGGCTCTGAAAGAGGCTGCTTCGGAAGTTGTGACGAGATCACTGCTTGGTATGTATATAGTTTCGTTAATTACAGTTGGAGAGAACTCTTCCCGCTTCCGCGTCGACACCTCTGGTGCTCGAGGAGTGACTGGGATGGTGTTTGCAACGTTTCTATATCCAAGTGAGTGGCTTGCAGCTTCGTCCAGGCCGGGAGGGATGGGGATGGATGACGGGATATTGCCTCCATTAACACTAGAGCTGGCCAACGAAGTAGAGTCGTCAACATTGGCAACTTGGCCAGCTGACGAGGATCTGAGAGGCGGGGATGCATTCAAGCTCTTCAGATAGTGCTCTAGAACTCTCGTTGGTGTGGCGTGGAGTACCTCAGCATCAGGTAAGGGGTATGAATCGTTGACTTGGCTTGGAGGTGCACGCCATGGGGATGCGAGCTGAGTTGAGAGAGATTCTCCACCCTCGCTGAGGAAAGAATTGTCTGCTGAGCCCTGCCTCTCTAGCAACGGCGGCGAAAATCGGTTATCGTATACACTCCGAAAGCTTAGATCCTGGGACTCTGGAACCCACGGCTGCCCTGAAGTCACTTTTGAGAAGTCCTTGTTGAATGAAGATACGGTCTCTTGTGTTGGAGAACCCCCCACGTCTTCATAACGATGTTCTTGAACGGCATCTTCGGTGAAATCAACCCGCCTCTGGGGCTGAAAAGAAAGATAGGATTGCGCGAGCTGCCTGTACGCAACGTCGTCTGCTGTCCTGCTGGGTGCCGTGACGTGAACTAGGATCTCGACGTCCGGGATCTGATTCCCCCGACTCGCCGCCATTTGATGTCGTCTATCCGTTGCTGAGCTAAAGAGCAGAGCATTGCGAAGGATGCAAGAGCATGACACTCGTCTTCATCAGCTGGAAAGCATACAGCGGAGAGAACGGCGGAGGAGAGACGAGGCACGATGGCTGGTCATTTATACATGTTGCAGCTTGTCGGGCAATGCTGGGCGCCTACTTCGTACAGGGGTTCGCCAATAAGCTGCGGGCCGCCGTCCTGGGTTGCGCAACCTACCGGGGTCTTGGTGAGGATGGTATTAAGAGGTTGTCCCTCCAGTTGATGTACGAGTAGTCGTGAAAAGGACCTAGCTTAAGATGGAATGACGGATCAAGCTGCCCGATCAATTGATGTCGGACTCAATTGTACCATAAACCCCACTAACTGAAGCCACGTCTCCCCCAATAATGCCCCATGCTTCAGGCGCATTCCCCACTAAAGACCACTGGGACGCCGGCCTAACTCAGGTACCTTTACCAGTGGCCTGGCTTTGGTGCCACGACTCCATCATATCGTATCTCGATATCAACCTCCACCGTTCATACATCCATACCCAAAATCCCTCTCATCCTACCATCACTCGCAGCAATGGCCGGTGAAAAGAGAGGCGACCTCGGCAGCGTCCTGGTCATTGGAGGCAACGGCTTCCTGGGCCACCACATCGTCAACCAGGCTCTGGAATCATGGAACTGCACGTCCGTGGCCTCCATCGACCTGCGATGCACCCGCAACATCAACGATAAGGCCTCGTACCACGAGTGCGACATCACCGATGCCGCCAAGCTGACTGAGATTCTGCAAAAGGTCAAGCCCGACATCGTCATCCACACGGCCTCCCCCGTGGCCAGCGGTGACAACAAGACGGCCCATGATCTCTTCCGCAAGGTCAATATTGGCGGCACCAAGGCCGTCATTGAGGCCTGTCAGAATACCGGCGTCAAGGCGCTTGTGTATACCAGCTCGGCCAGTGTCATTAGCGACAACGAGAACGACTTGCTCAACGCAGACGAGGATTACCCCGTGATTCGTGGCGCCCAGCAGAAGGAGTACTACTCCGAGACAAAGGTACTATCTTGATATACTTGAGAATAGCAATTCACCAGACTAACAATTGGAATCACCACTCTAGGCCGCTGCCGAAGAACTCGTCATCAAGGCCAACCGCCAAGAGCCCTCCAGGCTCCTCACCACGTCCATCCGTCCCGCTGGCATCTTCGGCGAGGGTGACGTCCAGACCCTCGCCGGCTTACTCCGTGCCTACGACAACAACAAGTCGCACATCCAGCTCGGTGACAACACAAACATCTTTGACTTTACCTACGTCGGCAACGTCGCCCACGCCCACCTCCTCGCTGCCCGCCTGCTGATCGCCACCGCCGCCTCGCACACCATCCCTCTGAGCCACGAGCGCGTCGACGGCGAAATCTTCTTTGTCACAAACGACTCGCCCGTCTACTTCTGGGACTTTGCGCGCGCCGTCTGGAGGGCCGCCGGCAGCGACAAGGGCACCGAGGGCGTCTGGGTGATCTCCAGGGGCATGGGCATCCTCCTCGGCGCTGCTAGTGAAGTCTTCTTTGGAATCATCGGCAAGCCGCCTACCTTTACCAGGCTCAGGGCCACGGTGTCCACCATGACGCGCTACTACAACATCAGCAAGGCCAAGCGGGTTCTGAGATACGAGCCTCTATGGACGCTGCAGCAGGGCATTGACCGGGGTGTGGGCTGGTTTATGGAGGAGAGGAAGAAGGATGAGTCCAAGAAGACGCAATGATTGGTGCACGGTTGAGAGTGGGTAGGTGAAGCGATGAAAAAAGGAGTGGGAAATTCTATATAGCCATTGGTACGAATCATTGATGAGTGGCATGATTGGATGCACATACAGCAGGTCATTTAGCCATACGTGTTTATATACACACCTGCAACTATTTATTTAATACATTAGTATCTTTTTATTTTACAGCCAGGATGTACTGCCTCGGTATCTGTGGACTCTACCCATGATCAATTAGGTATGCCATCCATGAATACCTCTTGATACCTTTGTAAAGTTCCTTTGGTTTATTGTGGTAATTTTTTGCCTTAGTAGGTCCCCATCTTGACTAGTAAGTAGGTACTAGGTATAAGCTTATTGCAACTGGTTCTAAGATATACCTACCTTTCTTCACTTGCAGCTTTTCACCAGGCCGATATGAGCTCGTTCCTAGGTACATGTAGTTTTCAGCCGCATTTCAAGTAGCACTACTATATCTAAACCAATATCCAATAAGAGGATGTGGTTCATACGCAGCCTGATGCCCCGCTTTTAAAACACAAGATGCTGTATCCTTCAAATACGGGCGGGCATCCACGACTTGGCAAGTGAACCGAGAGGAGCTTTGTCTACCTCCTCATTTGAGAGGAACTTATTCATCTTAATCCACCTCTGGTGAATCATTAGGAGACATGTCAAATCCAAATAATTACACGGTCGGCTGGATCTGTTCCATCACGGCCGAATATGTTGCTGCCCAAGCTGTTCTCGACGAAAAGCACAAACTACCAGAGATGGTTTCTAGCAACGACAATAACAGCTATGCATTAGGTAGAATTGGGAGACATAACGTTGTTATCGCTGTTTTGCCTGATGGAGAGTATGGCATATCCTCTGCAGCACGGGCGGCAGCAGATTTGTCTCACAGCTTCCCCAACGTCAGATTCGGCCTACTCGTTGGCACTGGCGGCGGCGTGCCATTTAAAGATAAAGAGTGCGATATGCGCTTGGGAGACGTGGTGGTGAGCTCTCCGGGCGAAGGCAGCAGCAACGGCGGCGTATTCCAGTACGACTTTGGAAAAACTATTCAAGAGCAGAGCTTCCAAACAACTGGATTCCTAAACCAACCACCACGGATTCTGCGCACAGCAATAACCAGCCTTAAAGCGAAATATGAACTAGAAGGGCACCGATTTAAGGAAGCTATCGATGCCATCCTCAAAAAACATCCAAGGCTACAGGGGAAATACCAACGGCCAGATCCAAGCAGTGACAGATTATATCAGCGTCATATCCGCCACCCTATGGACAAGAAATCGAAATGTGCCGAGTCATGTGGAAATAACGGGCCAAACCTTATCCCACGGCCTCCAAGGACTGAGCATCAAGATGATCCAATGATTCATTACGGCCTGATTGCTTCGGCAAACCAGCTAATGAAGGACGCCACGCTTCGAGATAGGCTCGCGGCAGAAAAAGACGTCGTGTGCTTTGAGATGGAAGCTGCTGGACTAATGAATCACTTTCCATGTCTTGTCGTCCGCGGCATTTGCAATTATTCAGACTCCCATAAGAATGAGGAGTGGCAGGGATATGCAGCAATGGTGGCGGCGATGTATGCAAAGGATCTTCTTGGCCAGATTGTGCCAAATAGAGTTGAAGCTGAAAAGAAAATATGTGATATTTTATCTGGTCAGTTCGAAACTATGCAAACTATACTATTAGCACATATTGATTGCATAACAGAGCACCGTGATATTGCAATGGAGCACCGTGATGTAGCAATGGAGCATCGAGATATTGCAAAGGAGCACTCGGATATTACCAAGGAGTATTTCCAATCCAAGGAAGAGGGAAAACGTCGCCAAGAAGAGGAAAAGCGCCGCCAGGAAGAAGAAAAATGTCACCAGTTATTCCGCCTCACAGTTACTAGAAGAGACGCCACATATGAGTGGTATAAAGACCGAGTGGAAACAAGGATTGAAGACACATGCCTGTGGTTCCTTCAGCACGAGTATTTCCAGGAGTGGTTAAAACAGGAATCGGACCCGCTGCTGGTATCAGCAGATCCTGGCTGTGGAAAATCTGTGCTGGCCAAATATCTGGTTGACGAGGTCCTTCCACGATCAGACTCTACTATCTGCTACTTTTTCTTTAAGGATCAAGACCAGAATACCGTCCGGCAAGCCCTTTGCGCACTGCTTCACCAGCTCTTCACCCAAAAGCCATGTCTAATTAAACATGCTGTAGTGGAACATCGCAAGGATGGGATGGGGTTAATCAACTCTACAAGAACACTTTGGAATATCTTACAAAATGCAATCACAGACCCCCAGGCAGGATCTATAATTATAGTCCTTGACGCCCTAGATGAATGTGCTGAGTCCGACTTTGCGGACCTGATGCACAATGTGGAGAGCCATTTCCGCAACGACCAGAGTGGGAAGGTTAAATATCTTCTTACATGCCGTCCATATGAGGCGATTTTATCCAAGTTCTATAACCTGCAGAGTGCTTTTCCAAAAATCCATATACCAGGAGAGGAGGGGTCAGAAGCTATTGGCCGCGAGATAAATCATGTTATTCAACATCAGCTTAACCAGCTATCAAGAACAAAAAACCTCTCACCTGAAATTACTGCCTATTTAAAAACAAGGCTGCAGGATACTGCCCACCGTACCTATCTCTGGGTATATCTTATATTTGATTACTTAAAAAGGGAAAACTTCAAAAAGACCTTACCAGCAGTGCAGTCTCTTCTAATACTTCCACAAAACGTTAATGAAGCATACGAGAAGATACTTGATAGGTCTAAACAAGACCCGATAGTTCGCAAGATCTTGAATATTATCTTTGCAGCGAGGCAACCATTAACGGTGGCCGAAATGAACGTGGCTCTGAATATTGACATATCATCACTGACTCTTGACCTTGAAAGAGAAGAGGACTTTAAGTCACGCCTCAGATCTTGGTGTGGATTGTTTATTTCAATTCATCACGACAAGATATACTTCCTTCATCAAACTGCTCGAGAGTTTCTTCAAGGATCGTCGTCACTTGCAACCATTCCGGCCAAACCTAAACGTTGGCAACACTCCATAAGTTACCGTGAAGCACACGCTGTGCTTGCGGACATCTGTCGAGCTTATGTTATCCACGCTACGTTGAAAATTGACGGCCGAGTTGCAGGCTTTGGCGAACTCATCCGATACCTAGAAAGTCACCCCTTCCTATATTACTCCACGGAGTATTGGGGGCATCACTGGGAGTCTACAGGCCAGAGCATAACTTCTCTAGGGTCAATTCCAGAAGTTGTTACAATCACGGATCTATCTGACAGACTGGAAACGCTGAGTATGGCGCTAGAAAACCTGTTTTTTCGGGTATATACTGAGAGGGCCCTGAATATTGCGACCGGATTTGCTCGACTAGCTTTAGCTTCGACACTTCAAGACTACGCCGAGACCGAAATTTGCGTCGGTAGGTTGATGAGATATTGCAGGCTTAAAGATATCCTACACCTCCGAATCAGCAGCCCGTCCTAACGTGTTGAGGGCTCATGCAAGTCTAGGTAACCTCCTGCACACCTAGTATACTATATATGTTAGGAAGATACTTCCTAAAAGGCTATATAGGGATAATTTTAAATATTTGCTATAGTCCCTGCTTTTACATCCCCAAATATAACTCTACGGACGCTCTCCGGCTGGTTACTACCCTACACTTTAGCTAAATTTAGTGAAAGGGTATTATGCGTATTGTATTATATTTTATTTTGAATATAATATACATACATCAGATAGAGAGGGCAATATTTCACAGTCCAGCGAATCCATATGTATGCAATAGTTCAATATAGTAAGAAGCCAACAAAGTCTCTTCATATATTCTCACACCTCCCCACCTCGACTCCTGTCTGTCTGCCTATCTCATCTGTCTCGACAAAAACTCCCCGTCCAACACACGAATCTCCCAGATTCTCTTCCTCTCAAAAGGCTACAAAATATCAAACAGAACAGAAAAAAAGACAACAAAATCTCCTGGATCGTAGAGAAAAAAAAATCCTTTCATGTCCATCCTTTCCTTTCCTCCCTTCATAGCATTAAAAAAAAAAAGAAACCCAAGTGTCGATTCGAACCACTCTTTTTTTCCTTTTTCCATTTTTTGGTTGTTTGTTGTAAAAGCCCTTTTGAGGTTCTCTCCTTCTAGGAAGCAAGGACAAAAGAGGATTTCTTTCTTTTCGGCGTCTGCCTCGTCATAACAGGCTATGATCTCCTTCAAAGCGAAGAGAGAGAGATGTTTTAAAAAATTGCAACCCCGGCGGACAAATTCGTCTTTTTTGACTCTCATATTCCACACAACACTAAAAACACACCAATGGTAAGCGGTTGCAAATGGCGGGGGCTCAAGTCGCTCGCACTCAAATGCCACAACCACATCCATCCAACGCGCACATACAAATAAAACCTTTTTTGAAGAGTGCCAACCAGGACCGTCTCAAGAAGTACAAGAATAAAAAACAAAAGGGGGTGGGAGTAGAAGAGCAAACAAGAACAGAGAAATGAAGAGAAAAAAAGAAAAGAGACTAACTCAAGAAATAGCATCGCCAGGATTGTCGTATCGAACATCAGAGTAAGAAAGTTCGGTCTTGACTGCTTGCGTGAAGATGGACAAATGTAACAGATAAAACGCCTGGAGAAATGCTACAATAGACACTGTTTCCGGGCCACATTTCCTATAAAGGAGTATAAAAACACACACACATTCCAAACATATCTTCTCAGGCTTGCTGCCAAATCAGTAGACAAAGCACAAACGGTTAACCGGAAAATCAAAAGGGCTCGCCAACACCTACCCCACCGCCTTGGCGGCCCCAAACGCCAGAATTCCGCCATTCTCCCCGTTGATTGTGATCAGGGTTCTCCCCATGAGGGTTGGAATGATCAATTTGATTGGCATCATAGGGAGAGGGCTGGTCTTCTGGGGGCCTGAACCGCGGTGGCGGCACTGGTGTGCTGGAATTCACAGGAGGGGCAGGGATGTCCTGCATAGGCCGGACTGATCTCTCGCCTTGCCAGACGGAGGGATCCGTTTCGCCTCGCTTCGGTGGCGAACGGGTCGAGCTCTCTTGCCGATTGTAGACTTCGCTGGGCTCGGCAGGGGTTTGTCCTCTGATATCCTGGTAACGTTTCATAATCTCCTTGGTTGAGATTTCGCCATTGTTGCTGAAAAGATAGGGGTCGTTGAGCAGCGTAAGGATCTCATCCGGAACCTAAAACAGCTCATTAGCATTGCTTTGCTTCTTTGCAGCAGAGACCCCCCGGTCCTTAAATGGGTATACTTACCTGGCACATCTCTTCAATATTGTCAATAAGAATCTCCACTGCATCAATCACATAGATAGTCTCGCTATCCATGGCAAGTGTTTTGGCAGGGTTCATCAGAATATTGGGTGCAATAACGGTTGCCAGATTTCTTACGTCCATCTTGGACCCAACCTCCTCGTCCAGTTGGTGGAAAGTGCCTGCCCATTTGAGGAATGTGAGAAGAATTTCCAGACAATCACGATGACTCTTGGGGAGGAGACAGGTAGCCATGTGCAGACACTGGAGCTTTCGAGCAGGATCCTGTATCTTGGCAACAGTGATCCACAACTTGTAAAGCTTGTTAGTCATAAGGGGATCCGGAAGGTCTCGCAAATATCGCTTTAGAACTGCCGCCAGCTGAATGACTGGCTGTTCCATGAAATTGACGGTATCGCAGCCTTCCGCATTGATCTTATCAACCATTGCTTGTTGCTTCTTGATATTGCCATTCTTACGGAACACGCCTTCAACTGAGAGATCCATCTTGCGCATAGACGAGATAATGTCATCGACCACTGCGGGGATGCGCAGAGTGCCAGGTCCCACGCCATCTGTTGAGTCGGCACCATCTCGCTCAATGATGACCTCCAGGGGCACACCAAAGACACCCTTCTTCTTAACGCCTTTGCTTTTGTCATTCTTGAAGGCCTTGCCCAGATTCTTCCAAAATGTGGCCGGTTTTCTCGATTCGATGAAGCTCAACAGCTCCTCCAATGTGAATTCTGATTCGACCACGGGATGCATAATCAGGACGGCAAGATGTCTGACGTTGAAGTACTCGAGGCCTGACAGTTCGGGGAAGAATTTCCTGCCAACTCGAGACATCATAGGGTCGGCCGCCTGGAGATCCTGCCCAACCGACTGTGTCCTGGAGTGGCCTAGGCCGAGACCTTGGTCAGGGGCGCCAGATCGCAAGACATCACTTGGTGGTAGTCGGTCTCGGCGTTGCTGCTGTTCACGAGACTGCTCAACTGCCACAATGCGAGAAATGTCGTCCAGTGTAATGGCATCGTTTTGTCCAAACATCTGGTCAGTCGATCCTTGGGTTTTATCCTCTCCTCCAGAAGAGGCAGGGCGGGGACCTCGTCCATCAGCATCCATAACACGAGACGTCCGGGCTTGTCTAACACTAGATGACAAGTGTCGATCGAGACGTGTGCTGCGTAGTCTTCGAACCTCATTGAGGGTTGTCTCGTATGTTGACTCACGACGGCGGCTTTTGTCATTTGGGTCGCCTGGTTGCTTCGGCCTGGCACCTGCGTTTTGACGTGAGGGATCAAAGTTACCGTCTGCGCCAACATCGCCGGACGTCAAGGCGCCATTGCTTCTCAGAATATCCAGCAGTCTTGCTAACGCAACTTTGAGAAGAAAGACGTATTGTTGAAGTTTGGAGATGTGGGTAAATGGCGCGAGGCCGTCCGTTTTGCCTCCAATGCATGTGACGCAGTAAATCTTGCGTTCTAGTGCGTTGAAGTGAGCTTCATCCAGGACACGACCAAGCTCCCGTTGGCAGCGAGAACAATTGACACAGCCAATGTGCCATCTCATATCGCCAGTCTTGGCACATTCATCTTCTACCGACCTGCCACACTGCGCGCAGTGATCCGAGTCCTTGGCTGAGAGCCGTTTGCCGCCCATGGTAACTTGCAGAAGGCCCTCGTCGCCCTTGTAGCTCTCAAAGTCGTTCAAGTTATCTAGGAATTGGTGAAGGCCATCGCTGGAGCTCGCTTCTCGCTCCAAGCGTAGCGCTCCCTGGAGGCAAATGCGAATAAGCAGCTTGAGATAGTGGGCCAAGCCTGTGACAAGGGACAAGAGCTCCTGAGTGACGCCCAGCTGCCGGGATCCATTATCCTGCGTTTTTGATAGCAAAGAGAAGAACGCCACAATCTTCTTGCAGAGAAGCTTGGCCTCTCGACCGTAAGACATGCCTATAAATATGATCACATTAGCGCCAAGTCCTATATATAACTTGCTGCCCCCCATATTTATTCCACTAGAATCGGGGCTTTTTATTCTCCCCCCTTTTTGAGGACTTACCTTTCTCGTTTTCCTTCGAGACAGCAGCGTCCAGCTTATCCGCAGCTTGGAAAAGAATCTCAACGTGCCAAATGAAACGCTTCGCAACCAGCACACCGTCGACGTACGAGGCATTGCTGACGTGAAGCAGCATGTCAGATATGCATGCGGCGGATGATTCTTCGAATGTTGAGAGAACACTCCATATTCTGAAAACCTTGTCTTCCATGCGCTCTTCGTCCTCGCGGATACGATCCCTGATGAGATCGCTCACATCGGCCTCATCAATCTGCGGCACCTCAGTCGGCTGAGCTAGACGTACGTTCCAGAATTTGTGTATCATGTAACATTCGGGGTGCCAGTGCTGGTTCTGTCCATTGCGGAATATCTCAACAAACTGCTTCAGGATAGCCGTCTGGCAGCCATTGCATCGCTGGGCGAACTGGGTTGAGTAGTGGTAGTGGCAGTAGACGTGTCCATCATGCTCGTAGTAGCTGTCTTGGGCGCCAAAGACGGTCGCACAGAGTGAGCAAGTAAAATGATCAACGTGATACTTGTGCTCGAGCGCGGTTATGTACGACCCGCGAAGGGCCCCACCACATTTGTGGCATAGGAGGCCAAGGCGTCGGAAGTAATCAGTCTCGCAAAGGGGATATTGCCCTCCGTTTTCATCTTCAGCCGGGAAGAATTTGGATGCCACGATCTCGCCGCAATCCTGGCAAGGGAGGTCAGTACATCTCGCAGTAGAGAGGTGGTAAAGTGGGGGGAAG